GCACACATCTTCTATTTCAATTAAACATTTTCTCCTTGTAAACATTATGAAACAAAAACAAAAAAAAGGTCGAAGATTTGAAAAAAAAATTGTGAATTTACAAAATTTAATAAAAATTGAATTATTTTGGAGTTGGATCCGATCGGTTTTGACGTTTATTGGATACAAACGAACAGACAGACAAACAGACAAGCAAAGTATATATATATACTATAGACATGTATACTTTATCAGATTCATCATAACGTCATTATTTTATACATAAATATAAATAAATATAAATGTATGTACAGTGAATACGTATTTTTTGTCGAGTTTTAAAAAATAAAACATTTTTCAGTTCTTTACTCGTTTTCTAGGATATCAATTCATTAGAACACGTCTCTAAAACCAAACAATTACATACCTTTCACCAAGGTCGAGTCCAACGAAAAATGTATAAAAAATATTTCTGGAAAATTTTATTTTTGTATTTTATTCAGAACATTTAAAGGATACTTATAAAATGTAAAAATCACAATTAACTAAAGGCCTCGACTCGACCCTTGTTTGAATTTTCTAATCTATCAGAATTTTTGTACCACTGGATATTAATAGTCATTACTTTAAAGCTAGATAAAACTTGATATTTCTAGCTTTATTATACATGCAAACCATAGCCATCGGCATAATCTAGATTAATATTTTCTAGGTCGGCAGTTTTATTCGACAATGACCAGCCCTCAGAGTTTTTAATTGTAAAAGCATACGGGCTTCGGGGGGGGGGCAGCCCCCTAGCTTTAACCCTATTGCCTAAACCTCCTGCTGTTTTTGATTTATTAATATTATTTATTCCTCGGGTAATGTCAGAGATTAATTTTATTATATTCTTACAAGATAGATCTTGATAGATAGATAGATAGATAGATTGATAGATACATAGATAGATAGATAGATAGATAGATAGATAGATAGATATATAGATAGATAGATAGATAGATAGATAGATAGATAGATAGATAGATAGATATAGATAGATATATAGACAGATAGATTGAGAGGTAGATAAATAGATTAATAGATATACCGATATATAGATATAGATAGATATATAGATATAGAGAGACAAATGGATAGGTGAATAGATAAACCGATCGTTGGATAAATGAATAGATAGAAATAGATATAGAATATAATGGATAAATAATTAGATAAAAGTAGATATAGTAAGAAAGATAGATAGTTAGAGATAGATATAAATAGAGAAATATAGATAGATAGCAAGAGAGAGATAAATAGATAAATGATAGATGAAAGGATAGAATATTAGATAGATGAGAGACAGACTTGATAGATACACCGATAGATAAATGAATGATAGAAATCTATTGAAAAATATATTTCTGGAGATGTAATAATGAATTTTATTCATGCAATCCCACTTTTATAAATATAACTTCATATTTTCTTTTCATAGAAACATTATGTTATACCCCCCCTCACTCCCCCTGTATTCTTTGCACTGTACCCCCCCCCCCTGAGTAAATATCATTTCCCCTTCGTCACTCGTGCAAGGAAAAATTAATCCCCCCCCTATGCCTGCTTTTGTTAAAATTGTAGTATCTCATTATATAATACTAGCTTAGGAACCCGGCGATGTCCAGGTTACTCATAGTTACACCCGCCGTTTACCCGCACTTCGTCAATTTTACTAGAGAACTAAATTTTCGCTATAAAAATCGAACCCCTCAAATCTCAAAACTAAGCTAAGAACATTCCCGTGGCTCTCCCGAGATTCCCATGAAATATTGAGGCAAATCTGTCCAGGGGTTCCTGAGTTATGATCGGACAAACAGAGATTACACTACAACTTTATTAATATAGATAAGATAAAAGATGTACGGGTGATAAGCATAAGGTATTCGTAAACTAAATTGAAATTTAAGATTGAGATGTAAAATTGAGATGTAAAATTGAAATGTAAAATTGAGATGTAAAATTGAAATGTAAAATTGAGATGTAAAATTCAATTGTAACATTGAAATGTAAAATTGAGATGTAAAATTGAAATGTAAAATTGAGATGCAAAATTGAGATGTAAAATTGAGATGTAAAATTGAGATGTAAAGACAAAGTAAGGAAAGTAAAGATAAAAGAAAAAGGAATTATAAAAAGAGATAAGAATGAAAAAATAAAAACAATGCTTTACGAGAAAGAATAATTATGAAAAAGTAGAAAATTAAAAAACAGGACATTTAGTAAAATATAAAAAAGATAGGAAAGAAAAGATAGATATCTAAAAAGATAGGAAAGAAAAGATAGATATCTAAAAGATAGGAAAGAAAAGATAGATATCTAAAAGATAGGAAAGAAAAGATAGATATCTAAAAACAAAATTAACAGAGAACGCATAGTCACAAAAAAGAAGAAAATCAACAAAGGAGAAAGACAAAAATGGAAAGATAGAAAGTATTTAAAATTAGTTTTTATGACAGATAAAGTGATAAATAAGCCTATAGAAGAAACTAGAAAACTAAAAACAAAAATTTGATAGAAACAGGAATACAATATAGGTGATGAAAACAAGAAACAAATTAGGAATCTAAAAACAAGAATATAATAGAAAACTAAAAACAAGAATAAAAAAGAAAACTAAAACCAAGAATAAAATTGAAAACTTAAAACAACTTAAAACAAGAATAAAATAGAAAACTAAAAACAAGAATAAAATAGAAAACTTAAAACAAGAATTTACAAGAAAGAATGATCATGTAAAAGAAGAAAATAACAAAGAAGAATAAAAGAATAAGAGAAAAAAAATCCACAAAGAAGAGAGGCAAGAATGGAAAGATAAAAGTATGTAAAATTAATTCTATTGAGATTGATGGTTAAGTTTTGAACTGCTTCCATTTGTCTCTTGAATTACCCCTTCAATGGGTTTTCTCCACAAAAACCTCAATTTCGTCGGACATTAAAGAATTTAAAATCCAGTCTATTAGGGGGAGGGAGGGAGGGAAACTTCTTCCTATAGAGGGGGGAATGTAGGGAAATGTACATGTATAACATATCAAACATTTATTAAGGGACTTAAGAGTAATTTTAAGTGAACCTCGATGAAAAGAGGGAATGAAATGCCAGATTTGCAAAAATACACTTTAATCCTCTGACTGATCATCGACAATATTGAACTCCGGGTGTTTAATCTCAACAATGGGGCGTTCAAACTTCAAATTGGTGAAAAACTGAGCTGTGCGCTAGATTTATGTAAACAGAGCTGGGAACTTTAGAGTGGTGGATATTAGGATTAATGCTTAACCTCTCTTTTTGCTAATCTCGAGATTCTTTATTTGTTAGAAATTGCGGCTTTCTCTCATGGGATAGAATTCATTTTCAAGGCTGTCATTGGTCAATACAATATTGTTGACTTTAAAAGTCAATATGATAAAATAAAAGAGATCTAACGGTATTTCTAATCTTTATTTATAAAAACAAAAGGTTATGAAATATTTTCCCGAGTGGGGCTTAAATTGGCTGGTATAGAAATTAATAAAGAAACTATAGACGAATATCGGTTGGAAGGTGTTTGTAGAACTTCATGATGGTGATGCAGATCATCAATCTTGACGGCAGGCTTTCTCACAACTAGGCTTAGTCTAAGGGAGAGAGATTGCGGACTTATCCTGTATACAGGATAATGGAAGGAAGTCTGGTTCCGCCCGGATCTCTGGAACATTGCGGAGCGAACTATTGTTACCTTCTCCTGCGGAGCGAACTATTGTTACCTTCTCCTGCGGAGCGAACTATTGTTACCTTCTCCTGTGGGAGGGAGAGATTGCGGACTTATCCTGTATACAGGATAATGGAAGGAAGTCTGGTTCCGCCCGGATCTCTGGAACTTTGTGGAGCGCGGAGCTAGGTGTAAGCAGTGTCTTCTGTTGTTGGTTCCGTATCTGAATCATCATCACAAAGGAGCCAGGGTTGAGACGGAGTTGTGAATCTCGTGAGTGTTTTCCGCTGACTGACTGGTGAAGCGGGAGCTAGGTTGAGCGGAGATTTGACATGTGGGGTGTGTTGTATGGCGGAAAAGGATTCTGTGTATTCAGTGTACACACACATCCAGGGAATTAACATCGGCATTTGAGTCGGAACAATCGTCTTCCTTATATTTCGAATTTGTTTTAACA